CATATGGAGTGAGGATAGGGATGGGTCCAGAGGTTGGGCAGAGAGGTGACTGAAGTGGTTTGCCCATGCCATGTGTCTTTCAATCCAAAAAATGGCATGAATTGAAACCATCACAAAATCTTATTCATTTGAAAACTAGCATGAAACTGATTTGTCTGGCCATATGTCTTTTTTTTTAAATATATGCATTATTGACACGTAGTTGACTTAGAGTGTTTCAGGTACACAGCAAGGTGACTCAGTTATACACATATATTATTTTTCAGATTATTTTCCATTACAGGTTATTGTAAGATAATGATTACAGTTCCCTGTGCTACACAGTAAACCTTTGTTGCTTGTTGCATATCTGTTTTTTTTTTTTATTAGAAATCTAGCAGTCTATTTATACTAAGTCAAACAAGTAGAATCAAAATGTCATAAATTTTTTAGTTAGGTAAAAATTCATAGGGTCCTTTTTTTTTTTTTTCAGGCAAAGCTTTACTGGGGCTCATGCCACAGCAGAAGATAGTGAGAACAAATAACAGTGCCCTTGCTTTCTCACTCCTCCAAGAGGGGCAGGCTTGTTCTTTATATGGAGTGAGGATAGGGATGGGTCCAGAGGTTGGGCAGAGAGGTGACTGAAGTGGTTTGCCCATGCCATGTGTCTTTCAATCCAAAAAATGGTATGAATTGAAACCGTCACAAAATCTTATTCATTTGAAAGCAGAAAAATCAACAAATTTTACTTAGTTCCCACTTTTAAGGTCATGGGGAATCCAGTCACACATAATTAGACTTTGATTTACATGGGGATCTTAGAAAACACACACACACACACACACACACACACACACACACACACATATCAAGACCATGTGAGTTGAATGAATGACATACTGCTGCCTTTGCATGTTTCCTCTTGCTGTTTAACAGATTGATGGAACCTGGTTTTCTGTATATTTGCCGTGGACTCTATACACATTCAAAATAAAATTTAAAGAATAGTTTGGGGGTCAGGGAGCCCCCATAGTGCATCAAGTAGGAACTGGATAAGGACGTAGCCCCTGGTTTCATGCCCATCCCATACTAAGTATTTTAGTAAGAAATCATGGTCTATGAAGTGAGCCTGTGTAAGTTCCAGCTTTCTCCCCTGTACTTTGGAACCTGTTTGTGTCTGTACAGATGGTCTCTGTCAGTTGGAATAGTCATGGGGAAAAATGTAGCATAAGTGAACAAAATTAGCAAATGACATAGCAAATAGAGAACAGCACACAATTTGATTGGGGGCAGATCTTGGGACTGAGAAATTTCCCAAGTAGCAGTGGATACCAGCTCGAGAATTTAAGGAGCTCCCAAAGCATGGATTTTAAGGATGCATGGATTTCACAGAAATCAGATAATTCTGCGGCGTGTATTCTAGTAGACGGGAACAACCCCATGCCTGCAGTGTTAGGACTGCTCTTCCATTGTCTGTGTGTGTATAAATTAAAAAGCAGTCCTCTCTGTACCCTAGGAAATGAATTCGTGCTGAACAAAATTTCCAGAAGTTCATGTAAAGAATGATTTCACAGCAACTATCATATCAGGCTCCTGGAAAATTGCCCCTGAACTTCAGTTCCACCTCAGTCACTCAAAAGGAATTTAAAAATTGGCTTCCAGCCACCCTTGTTCTTCAACATGCAGTTTCAGATATGCCTCAGTAATACAAACTTTAAAGCCTATTGATTGGGAGTTAAAATCCATTCTTGCCACAGCCCCACTGCTAAGTAGATGTCAATGCCAACTTCACCATGCCCTGGTCAGGCCTCCTCTGCATCAAGGAGCCTTGAAGAAGGTGGAGGGTAGCTTGGCTGTGAAGAAGCCACTTTGAACTTCATAACAAAATTTTGAGAAAAGCTTTGAACTCTGCCAGCTGATAGCTGCTATCAATGGTTATTCAAAGCAGTGTTTCTCATTTGAAATCTCCAGAGTGCCTTGGGATGGGGAAATGGGAAACTTGAAATATGATTTCCTATCCATCACCTCCCCTCCTTATATGTCACCGTCTTCCATTTTTGTCACCATGCAGTTTAGGCAAACAGCATGCAGACTGGTGAGACAGTAGATTTGGGAATAGGCAAACCTGGCCCCTGTCACTTGCTGCCTATGCAGTCTCACTGTGCTGTGCCTCAGTTTTCTCATCTGCAAAATAGGGATGATAATCATTTAACCTCATAGAATTGATCATGATTGTGCTGTGAGAGGCAGATAGTCATTATGCAAAAAGATTAGCAGTTAAAATAATAATAATGATGGTAGTATTTTTATCAGCTTTGGGGGGAAGTCACGTTGATTAAATGTGTGTACTGATTCTGATCACATGCTGATTATTCAGCCTACCCTTGCCAAAGCATCTGGCAAGAATATCATGCCTTATATGTCTCCTGAACAGTTATGAATGAATTGGATTTTTAAAATCAAACTTCATTCATCCATTGACCTACTTCAGGAATGAGTCTTCTTTGACTGTGTTACCAAGCCCCTAACATTTAAACTTTAAGGGTACCTTGATTCCTCTCTCTCTCTGCAACTCCCACCCTCAAAAAGAGTAATTGGCTAGTGATTTGATGCGTCTGTGCTGTTGTTCATTGTGTTTCATCTCACCAAGAGCCCCTTTCCTCTTCTCTTGAAGATTGCCTGCATACCACCTTTCCCAAGAATCCTTGTTTGACTCGCCACCCCTACTTCGACCTAGTCTTTTTTTCCGGGCCCCCACAGAAGCCTGTTCTTACATGGGACCATCATGCTCTTTACCACGTGCTGCTGAAATGATGTATTTTACTGCTTGCCTCTCCCACTAGACTGTGAGCTCTCTGAGGGCAAGGATGATGTCTTTCTTATTTTTGTATCCTTAGTGTTTAGCAGAGTCCCTTTAGGAGATGCTTGTACATTTTACTGATTCAAAATGATCTATCAATAACATTTAATGCACTGGGGAACTGATCATGAAATACAATTAAAAAGCGATGACAAAAATATACATCCAGATGTAATGTCTGAGGGCTTCCCAGGTGGCTCAGTGGTAAAGAAATCAGCTGCATTGCAGGAGATGCAGATTCAATCTCTGGGTCGGGAAGATACCCTGGAGGAGGAAATGGCAACCCACTGTACTATTCTTGTCTGGGAAATCCCATGGACAGAGGAGCCTGGAGCGCTACAGTCCACAGGGTCACAAAGAGTTGCATACAACTGAGCGACTTAACAATAATGAGATGTCTGAAAATGCCTTCACAGGTGCAGTGCATCTAAAAGCAGGAACATGGGTTTCTTCTGCCTCGGGCATGTCTTGCCTGAGTTGAAACTCTAACCTGGTTCTTGAGTTTGCCTTCTTAATACCTTCCCTCTTTTCGACAACCCCCGATTTAGGGCATATCCCCTGGGCTGCTGTTCTTGGCTCATTTTTCTGAGCTTTCCAAATGAACAAACCAGCAGGCAAGCAATCACAAGGACCCCAAGATATAAGGGTGAATCAGGTTAAAGTCCACACAGCAGTTACCTTCACTCAGCACTTCTGCTGCCAGGAGCTCCCTGCCACAGAAAAAGAGGGGTTGTAGGGCCTTCTGTGCAGGAGAAGTTCTTGACAGAAAGCCAGCTCCAAGACACTGCCCACCTCCTTCCAGGCTGGCTGCTCTTCCCTATGGCTTGGTGTGGATGGTCCTCGTAGGAATTTCCCAGTGATGTCCAGAAGAACCACATGATGAAGACAGTGATGGAAGAAACAGTCGCTCAGTCCTGTCTGACTCTCTGGGACCTCATGGACTGTAGTGCACCAGGCTCCTCTGTCCATGGAATTCTCCAGGCAAGAATACTGAGTGGGTTGCCATGCCCTTCTCCAGAGGAACTTCCTGACCCAGGGATCAAACCCAGGTTTCCCTCGTTGCAGGCAGATTCTTTACCATCTGAGCCACCAGACTACGGTGGCACTGGCCACTTCTCTGAAATGCAAATGTGTCACCCTTTCTGCCTCTCCTCCCCTTCTTCCCCAAACTAATTAATTTGATTTTAGTCTCTCTTATTTATCTGTTCATTCATTCAACAGGTGCTGTTTGTTAGGAAGATACTGAGTATGTAGGGGTGAATAAAATAAGTAGACTTATCTCCCTTCCAATAGTCATAAAGGCTGTCAAGAAATTTAAACAGGATGACAGGATAGAGCAGATAAATGGGCAGTTCTCAAGAAGGCAAACAGGGGAGGCTTGAATGAAAAGAAGCAGGCTTGTGAGTATCAGTGAGGTTGCAGGTAAGGAAGAATGTTCCACTAGAGGGGACGGGAAGTGTAAAGACTCTGAAGATGGAATGGTGTGATGTGTGCAAGCAACAGAAATAAAGATGGTACATTGGCTGGAGAATAAAAGTGGAGCATGGTACCACTATCAGAGGTGAGATGGGAGAGGCAGCTGGTGCCAGTGTAGACGAGACATGCAGGGCAGTGTAAAGAGTTTGGGTCTCTTTCTACAGAAAGTGGGAAGCCACCAGAAGGTGCCAAGCAGGAGGGTGATATGATCTAATTTCTATCAGTGAAATAGCGTTCTGTCTGCAGTAGAGAAGGGAGAGAGACAAAGGGTCAGAGACAGGTGTTGGCAAGAGTGGAAGCAGGGAGAACAGAAGGGAGTTAGTCCATTAAGAGATGGTGGAGACTTCGATTCAGACCATGGCAGGAAAGACAGAAGGAAGTGGATGTCTTCCTGACTGATCCCATTTCAGCTGTGTCGATGGATACTTCTGTTGTCATGTCCATTTTCTGAAATACACAACTACGGTCGTATGAATTTGGACTTTTGGAAAAAACATCAAATCACTCAAAAAAAAAATACACACCTGGAGCTTTTTTTTTTTTTTTTTTTTTTTTTTTTTATTAGTTGGAGTTTTTTTACTTTACATTTTGATATTAGTTTTTGTTATACATTGTAATGTAACTTTCTCTGGATGCTCTCATGACACTCATTGCTGACCTTTGACCCCTCTGTCCTCTTTCCCAGGTCGTCCCATTCCACCTACATCCTCGTCTAGCCTCCTCCCATCTGCTCAGCTGCCTAGCTCCCATAATCCTCCACCCGTTAGCTGCCAGATGCCATTGCTAGACAGCAACACCTCCCATCAAATCATGGACACCAACCCCGATGAGGAGTTCTCCCCCAATTCATACCTGCTCAGAGCATGCTCAGGGCCCCAGCAAGCCTCCAGCAGTGGTAAGGAAACCGTGGCGTCTGAACATGCGGTGGTGTGTGTGTGGTGATTTGGAGTCTCCTGCGAAATGACACCTCTGAAACCAGGGCTGGGGAGAAGGTGGTGTGGGGAGCGAGGAGGTGAAGTGCGTTTGTCGTCTGGCGACATTGAGGTTTCAGGGTCTATTGAAGGCTGTGGTTACTGAAGAGGTGTGGCTTATCTGAACAGAGCTTGGCCCTCGTCTTCAGTGGGAAGAATTTCCCCCCAACTGCACGTGAGAGTCTGCAGGTCTCAAAGGTGAAGTGCAGAGAGATGATGGAATGTTGAATGTTGTATTACTGTGATTCTGGTCATAGCCGACGGACACCCTCAACGTGACCAATGCATATGCATCTCAGATTTTTTTTTTTTTTTGATGGTTGGCTTCTGACTCTTTCTTCCTTGCTTATTTAGATGATTTTGCAATCAAAATGTGTTCCCCTGATGTGAATGCTGAATGTCTTGCCAAGTCCAAAGGGTTTTGAGGGTGACCTCACCCCTGACCCTCTACTTGTCCCACTTCACTTGAAATTAATGAGCTGCTTCCATGGTACCATGATAAATACCACCTCTAAATCCTTGGTTCTCACCGTGGTTTTCACATTCACACATCAAAAGGAGGGGTCACAGCATTCTGTCCCCCTTTTGAGGATTTTGTGGTACTTGCCTCAGTTCCAGTTCTCTAAATCGTAGGTGCAATTGCCCCAGACCCGGAAGTAGCCATGCCTTATTTTGATTTCTGCTGTTGATGGCTCACAAAACACGTGAATGTAGGATTGGGCAGCATCTAGGGTTAAGTACCCACAGCCCAAGGAGAAACATTTGTGGAAATTAATTGCTCCCGACCCCCAAGGCTTGGAAGTTATCTTTGGAGTTGGTCACTCATGGTGTTCATTAGCATATCCCATCAAAAGCAATCGGAAAGCTCTGGATTTCCATGCCAAGGGTGTTCCTTGATGAGATTGTATTTGGGCTCCATCCATGAGTATATGCCACCAATGGCCTCAACCCCTACAATTAGAGAGGACCTCCTAAATACATTACAGATGATTCATTCAGGAGATGGAATGATGGACTGCTACTTATGATGGCCCATGCCCTTCTTCAAAGCCAGCCCTGATATATTTAGTAAACTCATATTCTTTTTCAAAAAAAAATTACCTAATCAAATCTCTCATCAAATGAGCAATCCATTGTTGATATTATGAAGGCCTTTAATCTACCATAAATCTTTATTAGAACTCATCAGAGCTTCTAGTTTGAGAGAAATGTGATTATGGCACTCTTAAAATGACATTACATCATTGGGGTGATTGGTTTATCATTTGGAGAAGAGACATCAATCATAACTAGCATAACCACACAGTAAATGAATTCAACCTTTCTACCGCGGAACAATGACACTGTAATTGCTCAAAATCAGGCTTAAAATGAAATCGGAAAATGCTCTTTCTTCAAATATGATGTTAACTTAATGGAATATATTATGAAAAATCATGTTTGAGGAAATTCTATATAATTAAAAATATGTGGAAATATATTCCCTTTTTTCTTTCATCGGAACCTGATTTTAGCTACAGGATCTTTTTTTTTTTTTCCTTTGCTTCTGAGATTATGTTGCATTTAATTGAACTATCCTCGCTTATGTTTTGCTGCTTTTTATTTCATACTATGTAATCGTGATGAATATTGTATTATAAAGGACAAGAGGCTTTTGAAATGAGGTGCACCTGCTGATAGCTTTTTAAAAACAGATGATTATTAGCAAGAAAATGAGCTTTTAAAAACTATCTCCTTTTATGCATATATGTATACCCAAGCCAAGATGATTTCCATAAGAGGGGTCAATTCATACCTCAGGGCTGTCTAGAATGTTTTCTTGGTGATAATGCCGTGAGTGATTTCTTTTCTGTTGTATCAGATTGTAAGTGGTTGATAGGGAATTTTTGTTGATTTGCTGCCTAATCAAGACCTCCTTCTGGTGGACACAACAGATGTGTGTGTTCAGACTCAAACTTATCCATTTTTCTTCACTCACACCAATTTGTTCTGCTCACTTCAGACTGATAGCTATTTAAGCTTCAATAATAGGGCAAAATACTACAGAAAATTTGAGGGTCCATTTTCATCCCACTTAAGACTACAGTGACAGGATTTCTTCACCTGAGGGGTAAAGATCCAAATGTGCACTATCCTTGTTGTCGGAAGGTTACTTAATCTGAGAACTGGTTAAAGCTCCAGTCAACTGGCCACCATTCAAAATTCTTGATTCTGGCTTAGTGCTAAAGTGAGTGCAAATCCATTTTGAATATGTGTGTGCTCACATGTATGTGTGTGTGTGTGTGTGTTGTGGAATGGATATGGGGTCCAAAGCAAATTGGGAATTCTATCAAGATCTGAATGTAGTTGCCATGAATTTAAATTTGACATAAAGGATTGAAAATAGAGTTTGACACAGAAGATGCAAAGTGCAGAGCCATGCCTGGGTGTTCTGAATTGAGTTTGATGAAAGGGGCTGGTTTTTTCAGTAGCTGTGGAGGCACAAACAAAGTGACCACGTGATTGGCTGTGTTATGTTCAGCTGCTTAAGAACACAGACCTTTCAAAGCCGATCTCTTGGCAATGACCCTGTGCTTTGAAGATCTGGGACCAGTTTGATCTTTGTATCTTTCTTAGGTGAAATAAAACCCCTTCCAACACCTTCAGCACATACATGACAGTAAAAAAATTCTTTCCTGCTGCCCTCTGATCGTTGCTGTTATGACTGGACATTAGTGAAGCCCATCATTAAGAGAGTCAGTGTGCTCATTTCCTGCTCAAAGAGCTTCTGTTCTAAAGAGACAAACTGGACATAAACTATGGACTAAAATGTTTCTGACAACGTGAACATCTCAAGGCAACAACAAAAACTTCACCGTTATGGCCCCGCTGCCATTATTTTCTGTGACTGTAGTGCATTCCTTAGTGGACAGTACTAAAACCTTGGCACCTGTGCAGCCAAATTGCTCTAACCTTCGATCTGTGCCAATCGTGCTGGTACCCAGGTACAGCTAGTGAGATGCTTCAAAGAGGCGTGCTTCCCATCCCCTCAAGCATCTTCTTCCAGATACCTGAGCTCCGGCAAGTGGTTCATCCTGTGTTCTGACCTTCTGCCAGAGCAGGTCAGCTCCAGAGATGTTTCTTGTCTACAACAGCATAATTTCAGATTCTGTGAAGTAAGTCATCTGGAAGAAAAAAGTCTGGATCCCAGTGGTAACATAATGGAGGCTCCTGCGGATGAACGCATAAGACTACCTTCCAAATAGGAATGGGGTTTGCATTTTGCTATCAGCATATGAGGCAGAAAATACCCGGGCAGCTGCATTATAGTCTAAAAGCATTGACTTACCTCCTCCACTCTAAAAGGTTGAGTTTCCATTTTCTTAAAAGTCTAAATAAAGGGGTTTTGAATACTCATTAGTAACATCAAACTATGCAGAAGAAATGTAATCAGTATGCATCCACCAGGACCCTTTCCATTGGTTCTGTGTGACAAAGAAGCTATATCCGCTGGAGAGTGTCACTTTGTTAAAGTGCATTGAAGGTACCCAACTCTTTTTTAAAAAGCTTCACCTTGGTTAATTCTAAAGAATATAGTGCTTCAAAACAGCAAGCCCTGAGTTCCCTAGAGTGGTTCAGGAATTCAGTTGCCTAGCTCATTAAATGATACTCTTGTTTATCTGGCATCATAAAGCAAAAAACTTCACTCATTCATTCATTCAGCCATTCATTCATTCATTCCTTCTCTTACATCTTCCCTATAATTTGGACAGCTTCTAACAAAATTTTTTCAAAAACTGGAAAATTATAAGAGAATAAAGGGAAAAATCTAGGGAGAAAAGCATACATACAGGCTCATATATATAAAGTCCTGTTCCATTATTTAAGATAGAAAAACTTGATTCTAAGCTTCCCAGAAACCAAAGCAAAAAGAGAAAAACCCCCCCACACACAACATCCATGAGGTAAAAACAAATCAACTGACTGCTTCAGGGAAATTCTGCAAATCCTTATATTAGTGAGGCCAGAAAGATGACTGATTCCCAGAAACCTGCTATAATGCATGCGAAAGAGTGTCCTGTCAAAATGTCTTATGACTTCCCTCCTCATGAGCCATAGAGAACATTTTCAGTTAAAAAACCTTTGTACTAATGTGCCAAAATTGCACAACCCAAGGGCAAAACTTGATTTGATCCATAGATAAACCTTAGTTCTATAAAAGACCATGTCAACTGTTTGTCCCATGGGCAACAGACCTTAAATATCATTGCTCCTAACTAAATGTTTATGGAAATTAGTCAACTTTGGGGTGGTCGTCCTCACCCAGAACCTGAGAAGCAGACATTCTATATGACAGCTTTGTCTTGACAGCCTTTGAGAGGTTCGAAATGACATCCTCTCCTGCGAACTAAAGCACAGTCTCATTCATCTGGCTCCTCCCACCATCCATGGGGCTGGATTTGGGATGAGGCAGAAGGGGAGTGCCCAGAATATTTTTAAGTTAATGAAATGACGTCACCTTGTATTGGATTGGCCAAAAAGTTCATTTGGGTTTTCCTATACATGCATATAGAAAAATCTGAACAAAATTTTTGGCCAACCCAGTGTATTTTAGGCTTAAAGAAGAATTTTTCCTCTAATATGTTACAAATTTTCTTATCTCCTTAAATAGAGTATGACCACTCTAATTTAATTTTATTTAGGATTTCCTAAATAGCTCACAGCAATTCTTACACACATGGATGATCTGACTGTGCTGGTAATGCTAACTTGTTTTCTTTTAAAAATCCTTCTACATTGTGAGACTGTTGGTTGTGGTGGTTCAGTTGCTACGTTGTATCCAACTCTGTGATCCCATTGACTGCAGTATGCCAGGCTTCCGTGTCCTCCACTATCTCCCAGAGTTTGCTCAAATTCATGTCCATTGAGTTGATAATGCTGTCTA